CCATGGGGAAATAAATGCTGCTCAAATAATACCGCTGGCTGTTTCTGCGCGTACGCTGTCTTACTAAAAAAATTTTTTTCTTAGCAATAAGCAACCTCTTAGCTTAGAAACTACAACCTGTATAGGCAGTGCAAAGTGCAAAACCAAGACAATACTGCAAATCCAGATTTGCATGAAATCAATTAGGTTTACGTCCAGTAATTGTGATCAAACAGAAAGGACTCCGAGGTCTCCAGATGTGTCTTACATTTACTATGAAGATGTTCACAATTCATTCTCGTTTTTAAACAAACAAAACAATATCTAGCATCTTTCATGAAAAATCAGATCAGTCTGTAAAAAAATTGTTAAGAAGTGAAGCCACGTCCTGTTTCCCGAACGGGTTCTTAGGCCCGCGAGAATTTTGAAAGGCATCTTCAAAAATTAACTCCGAAATACCCCCGTTCTCACCTCGAAAAATGTCTCGGACCTCCATTCTTAATAACTCCCCAAAAGTAAGCCTAGTAGTTATCTTAGAATTAGAGTGCATCATGCACTGCTGCAAAATTTTTTATTTTTTCAGTTTTGTCGAACTTGACGAACATCCAGCATTTTTTCGGGATGTAGCGTGAAGACACTTTCCTGTACAAAATCGCTAACGAGTCTTGCAGAGTCTGCTCCCTGAACTGGTTTTCTTGATACTGAGCTTCAGCTCAAACATATTTAATATAACTTTCCTTGCTCCACATTTCTTACCAATCTTTCGTGCTATCTGGGTAAGGGTAACGATTTCAACATGGTGGAAGTCATACAAAACCATGTGAATAGAGAATTTATTCTCTGAATCTTGCAAAACTGAAATATTTGCAAATGTGTGCAACATATCACAGGGTAGAATTATTATACACATAGTAGACTATGATTATTAAACTAAAACAGCAAGATTAACAAAAATTGGACAGACAGAATCTATGACTGTGAGTCAGAAAATCACTGATCATCATTATTACTCAAGATAACATGCCCTGCTCCGTTTTTTTTTCAATTTAAGGAAAAGAGGATACTGCAACACTTGTTTGTAAGAAGCATTTTGTGAAAACCTGAGTGTCAGTACATTTTGAAAAGATAGCAAAAATGGGGTGCTTAGAGCTTAACTGAAAAAGAAGCTTACTAGAGCTGCAAGATGACTCAGCCTAAAATGTAAAAAATGAAAAATGACTAAACAGAGCAATTTTTCTAGGAAAAAGAAACAACAAAGATAAATGCTATGGCTCTCATTATTAAGAGTATCACAAATTCAAAGAGAAAACTGGGGAATGACAAGAGGATAAAAAGATATGTTACACAATGAGATCATCAGAATCTGAACCGTCATGGTCGTCAAGTAGCTGTTGCCTGGAAGAGGAAAACGCAGACGAAGGTAATGGACTCCTACGTCCCATTTCGATTAAGTTTGTATACCTTGCTTTACGTCCACTGATAATACTCGATGTTGAACCCAGTAAGGAACCCATTTTACTTGATATGACTGATAATTTTGAACTGGTACGAAAAACGCCCGTATCATCTAGTCCGCGATGAACGCGTGGCTGAAAAATCAATAAATTTCAAGTTGTAGTTCTTAAAGAGGGAAACTGAAACCCACCTCAAATTGACCAGCTTCCAATAATTTTGCATATCTTTTATATTCAGCAGTGTACAAGGAACCGTAAGTAGGCTTTCTATAATAATGAAAAGAATATTTTTGATAACCCCTCGTATGCAGCGCGCTAAACCTCATTACCTGTAAGTTTTAAGCATAAGTGATGAAGTTACAACTGAAACGCTACTCAATGCCATAGCTGCAGCAGCCATCCAAGGTTGCAACATGAACCCAAAGGGGCGGAAAACACCTTCAAATCATAAAAAATTTCATTCAAAGATGGGTGTTTTAATCTGAAAAAAAAAACTCACCAGCCGCGATTGGGATGCCTATGGCATTATAAATGATAGCAAATAGGAAGTTGAGTCTTATCCTATTGGTCGTTTTCTTCGATAATTCTATAGCACCAACAACGTCGATAAGATCATTCTGAAAAACGACGTCACTTTCAAAAAACCATAATTTTGTGCTTATGATGAAAAAAAAAACGTTTGACATCGAAAAACCCATGTTCGTCCATGATCGCAGGCACTGCAACAAAAGGTGGCCTGCCTCAAGATCAAAAGACGGTGCAAGAATATTTGAGATAGCATTGAGCAAAAAATGCGAGAATGATCCGAAGCAAAATCTTTTCAAACATAATAAAAAGAATGTGCAGAAAAATCACTGTTTGAACACAAATTCTTGCAAAGATGTGAAGCACAACAGGACCGAAAAAATTTAACCAAGATTCTGCCTTACTCACCCTAACAAGCACGATCCCAGCGCTTTCAATCGCAACATCGCTACCAGCAGCGATCGCAATTCCAACATCAGCAGAAGCAAGTGCTGGCGAGTCATTCACACCATCTCCGACCATGGCAACACGTTCTCCTATTTCCTAAAACAAGGTACATAAGCACTGCAATGCCGATAGATTTGATTACAAACGTTTAGAATATGGCATGCTAACCTGCAGCTGTTGTATTTTTATTTGCTTTTGATTTGGAAGTACCTCAGAAAAGACATCGGCGATGCCAACCTAGAATTTTCATTAATTATCTAATTTACAAAGTCACATGTGATAGAGAAAAACAAACGAGATTTTGTTGAAATCATACAGAATAGGAAACAAAACCAAGTTAAAACACTACTTTT